TATACGTCTTTTTGCTGATGTAGCAAGATTATATGCATGTATAGAAAGATGATTGTCATCTGACAAGTTGACAGAGAAAAAAAGAAGCATTGACGTCAGTAGTGTGATAATTTGCATTTATTCTAAAATTTATTCTTGTGTAGAGCTAGTTGTCACTTAATAACATACATAAAGAATCATTTGAGAGCCAACTAAGTGAACTTGTGCGATAGTAACTCTACCTGGTATCGATGGATAAAAACCATAAATATAGACTATGATGTTCTATGTAAAGTTGAGCATGAGATACAAAAAAGAATACAACGAAACTTGACTATTGGTTCTGTGAACAACAAGCTGAATCTTTTATATAATGAATATTTGTAAGTCGTAATTGTGTAATTCGTAGCACAAATTTATCGAATTGTCTCAGTGAAATGTCTTTTCAAGAAATTCATTTTGCCGCTTTGAAAAATGCTGGTTGTTTATGTTTCGGATACCACAGTAATAACATATTGCAAATGTAAAGTTGATGTCATTGTAAACTTTTAATTAGATCGATATTTCTCTCTTGAAAAGCATTTTTCCCTTACGCTGAATATTCAAATACCACTTTCACTTGACGTCATTTCTGTACTCTGTTTCAGAACTTATCTGTCCGCTTTTCAAGTTTCCCATAAAAGAAAACAAAATGCAACGACCCATATCATTATAGATGTGAAAAATCCCAAGGATTCATGATACGCATGAACATTGATCTATGTTATGCTAGAAATCAAGCAATTTGAGAGTGTTCGGACGAAAACAACACTGATTTCTTTTGAATATTGCACCTATAGAAGTCATTAGGAGATCATGTTTGTCATACTGAAATCTTTAGTAACAAGACTATTGGACTATTGTTATCACAAACCGTCACCACCGCATAAAAACTCAGAATAACTTACTTGTAAATCACGAATGTTACATAAAACTCAAAAAAAATGAAAAACTTGAATATTAATCTAAACTTAAAACGTCATCTTTACAGTACGGTTTGAGTGTGCTTAAGAGAGAATGCAGTTTTTTTGTCTCCTAGCGGTGCTATTTAAGAGTTAGTCCATGTAAGTCGCAATCGAACAGTCCTAATCAATAGTCTGAAATTTTACTCAATTTTAGATAGGCGATCCAAGAAAGTTTTTTATGAACTCTAGTACAAGACGCTCCAAAAAATATTATGGCGTTGATTTTTTTTCGTGGCTTCTCAAAAGAGATACTTTTTGAATAAAAACTCAGCTATTTACAATGTGATGCTTTTGCAACATTACCATAGCTATCAAATTCAAGTCGGTTTTTAATTTAGCTAACTATTTAATGCGTCCAGTTACTTAAAATTGAGTGCTTTTCAAATATAATCATTACAATTCAAAAGTTGTTAACCACTATTTAAATAAAATGCATAGCTGCTAAATGATCTAACTTGGTGTTGAATTTTTGTCTCTGTACTCCACTTGTTAGCTCACTCGAAACAATATATGATAGGCTGAGCAACATAGCAAAACACTGTTAAAAACATAATCAAGATCTAAATCTAGAAATACCTAATGCTACTAAATCTACTCAAAATCTATGATGCCAACGTGTTCTAATAGCTATCAACATACTTTAGATAATACTGAACATCCTGAAATAATGTATTATATGCAATAAACGTTCATCAAAACATTCAACATAAACATATAGGTGTTACCTATTTAAACATCTATAGACATTCATCATATTCGTATCGAATATCTTTAAATAATACTGCAGAATCCCTGATTAGATCTCAAAACAAATTCATCCATTTTTCACATGCAGTCCCCACCAGAGATGGAACCGGTCTACCGGTCCAAACCAGTCTGACTGATTCAAACCGGTCTACCGGTAGTAAACAGAATACTAATGATACGCCAGTTTATCAGGAAAATCCAACCTACCGACAAAATATCGATCTACAGACAACATGCTGAGGCTTAAAATGAAATCTTGTTGCACACTGAACTCTCTTGTGGGTTACCTTCGTATCTTGGATACAATCATATAGCAGGAAAGTGAAAAACATAGACCAGTATAGACCGGTATCGGACCGGTCGGTTATCGGTACCTGTTCCATCTCTGGTCCCCACCATTATTTCGGAAACAATAAGTATTGTTAAATAATTTGTTGATTATCATTTTAGTAATCATGAACATTTATTGACTATTACCAGTAGCAAAATAAACGAACGGTGAGTATTTTTGTAATAACTTTTGATAGGAACAAGATAGAGATCTGTGACTTTTACTGTTTAAATGCTGAGATGAAGCTGCATCGAGTCGCATAGTCTAGATTTTTGTGACACGTTTTTTCGAATCTGCGATCAAGTTTATTGAAAAAAATATTATATAATGAAAAACTCTCAGAATTCTAATTTTCAAGGATTCACTAGAGACATTAACTAAAGATCTATAAGTTATATAAGTCTGATTTGATAAGATTTAGTCAACCATGAGTTATAAACATTTTAACACGTGTGATCAGTAGATATTTCACAAAAAATTGACTTTTTTTCTGACCTTTTCAAGAAAAATCCAACGTAGAAACTTATTTAAAAGTCCCGGTTTTTCAGCAAACTTGGTGAAAGATCCTGAGAAAACTTGTCAGAAGTATGTTGTATACACGATCCGATACAGTTTTATCTTTTCTTTTAAACGATGAAAGCCGAAGATCTCTATCTTGTTTCAATCAAAAATTATTTCAAAAATATTCATCCCTTCCTTTATTTTGATATGGATAATACTGTTGTAAATTATTAAATACTTCTTCTTCGCACTAAACAGCTATTCATAAAGATATTTGCAAACATCTGGTCTACGATAAATAGTTGATCAAGTATTTTAAATAGTTATGGAATCTTTAAATACTTAAAAATTTTTGAAAGTCTTATTATGAGAAAAATTGTATCACTTTTGAGAGTGAATCGTGACTACATATCATAACATCATTAAAGTCACATTTGTATGGGAAATTATTATTCAACGACAAGTTCATATTTAACATTATGCTTACATATATTAATAGAAGTTTTTTTTAGATAGATCGATTTGAAGAAGTATTGACTCATCAGATGTATAAGTCTTAGATTATTATCGACTGTATTATTCGTATTTTTTTATCATGATAAAAAAATCAAATAAATCTGGAATAGTAGAATCAGATGAACGACTTGACTTATTGGATTTATCATGAAATTCTATAAAATTAAGTTGGGATAAGGTGGATGCAGACTTGCATAAATGGGCTTGATCTCTTTATCCATACTCTCTTCAGATCCTCAAGATAGTTTATCACAAAATCTTATATCTAAACAAAACGATAATGATCTATCTTATGAACGAACTGCTTATCAATTCTATAATTGGCAAAAATAAAATCGTGCAAGATGAGTTCATGATTTATTTTCGAGCTTTTCTTTCGCAGAATACCAGAATATAATTAAAAAATTACTTGAACCATGTGCTGATTTATCTAATTCTTATCACTTGGTATCATCGAATGACTCCATTGCGTCAAACAAAAGAAAATTCATTCATAATTCATGTGAAAATTTGATCCATTCTATAACAACAAACTGTAGGAATAGTTTATCAATAAGCTCGGTAATGATGTTTATTGACTACATCATATCTCTAGAATATGTCTATTTCACATAATACATTTTTATAAAGGAAGAGAAAGAACAAGAAAGAAATATGAGCAGAAAAAAGGATAAAAGAAAGAGCAAGACAAAACGTAGATGAGAACAGAAAAGAGGAGACAGCCGTTATCATTACAATAGTTTAGATAAACATTACTGCATCATTGAAAAAAAAAGGATCAGTAATATCAAGCTCGAATGATGATCTTTAAGGGTGTGATAGGATTATCAGTTCATAGTAGTTTGCGAATTACTTAAAATACATGTTAATATTAAATAACATCTTTTCAAGAAAAATTTATTAAAATAATTTAATACATAAATTAATTAATATTATCTTATAATAAATTGAATAAAATAAAGAATTATGTACTTAAGATAGAGAATATATGTTTGAGGTTGAATATAAAATTCTTACACTTAATCATTGTTACATGAATATAATCAATAGAATTCAACAAAAAATTCTGCTAAAACTTTATTTATATGAAAAGAGGATAAACATCAAACAATATTTGATGGTCAAATAATGATAGTAGCTCATTGTCATGTTATCTACTAACGTGTCATTGTTTAAATTGGTCAACTATGTTATTAGTGATTTATTAGTCAATGTGCTTTATGATTTGATAAATGACTGAGTTTGACATTTAATATGAACCATCTAATCAATGAGAAAATCATAAAAATTTAAAATAAAAAGTATTAGTGTAATGGAAGCAGCACTATACACTAGACAGCATCCATTACAAAATATTGATTGCTCATGAATTCAATTTTTCTACAGAAAAAAAATTTGCTTAATCAAAATAAATCAATGGAAGTTTAATCAAATTTATTGCAGTGATTTCAGAACCACCTTAGTAGACATCTTTATGCGACTAGCAATAAATTGGATACAGTTTCAGTAGAATATAATTAAGTTATCTAACATATCAATGATGCATTGAAAGAAAGAATGAATAAGTGTCAGTAGTGGCAATGAGGCATAAAACGATCTTTAAAGGATCTATCTGTTTTTTTTTTTCATTTAAGAATCTGAGTTAGTAAAGAATTGTACTAAATAAATCCAAAGTTCAATATCCGATCAAGACAAATTTAGATTATCATAAAATTGATCGATAGAAGTTAAATCAACCGTTCAATATATATATATATATATATATGTTTTAAGAATTCATTTATTCACCCTTGAGCGTTCTTTTTTGTCATGTACATATAAAGATCTTTCGTAGAAAGCAATGATTTATATAATCTGACCTATCAAGTATTAATAAATGCTAAGCATGATATCATTTGTTTAGTTTATCACGTTCAATAGACATGTTGATTCTAGTTTTTTTTTGCCTATTATTGATTCAATTTAATTTCAATGTGTGTGATATTTTATCCAGTAATAAAATTTCAAATTGTTCTCTATTATTTCAAATTCAAACAACTGATCATTCAAACATAATTCAAACAGATTTTCCTATTGATCTTATAGATAATTATGATTTAACATGTAATTTGAAAAATTTTACAGCTTATTATAAAATAACACCATTATCGTTTCTTGTTATTGATAAATATAAAAATGAACATGAAAATTTCAAATCAATGCTTGAATTACATGTAAAACAATTTAACTTTAGTTTTAATCAATCATCAACTATTCAACAATGTGTTTTCTCAACAAATAAAGATAATTATAATATCCAGCATGATCACAAACATCAAATATGTCGACAAATACATATTGGAATAAATAGACTACATCATTTTTGGAATTTATCAATGAAAATATTTTATATTTGTTTAATATGTTCAATACGTACATGTTATATTTAATATGGTCTATTAAATAAATGGTCTCAAAATGAAAATAAATTAAAATCAAAAAATTCATCAATACAATAAATATTCATATGAAAAAGATTCTGAAGATAATTAAGTCTATTGAAGAACAAACTCATTTGTTTATTTATTAGATGTTAAATAAAATTTATAAGAATAAGGAAAAATGAAAAAAAAAAGAGGATTAAAATGATAAGAAGGTATGACTGTCATTTAATCTATTAATTTATTCTTCTTCTTCCTCTTCTTCTTCAGCAGCTGGTTCTTCTTCAGCTGCTGGTTCGTGAGTTGGTGCTTCTTCTTCAGTAGGTGGAGGAGGCTAAAGAAAAAACACATCAAATAATTGACATGAAATTTTTTGTTTTATCAATTATAACTTACTAAATCTTGTTCATGATGTTCTTCGCCTTTAGGATGAGCAGCACCTTTAGTTTTACGTAATGGATTTTCTTCAGGAGGTGGTGTATTGTGTCGTATTTTAGCTTTTGGACGTTCAGGAACAAAGTCAGCTGATTTCTTTTCTTCAGCCCAAACACCACGACGATCCTTGTATGTACGACGATCGGTAACTAAATCAAAATTTATTTTCGTATCATTATTATTAATAGAAGATAACTTACCACGTTCATATCGACTGAAAAGTGATACTTTTTGCTAAAATTAAAAACATGAAAAATTGAACCAAGACAATTTTGCATTAGAATTACAAACCGGTGCTCCTTGTGTAACATCATTGACACCACTAAAACTGAAATAAATTAAAAGGAAAATTTTTCTTTTCTGATTTTACAATAAAATTTTAAATACTTACATACCACCGCCAAGACCAGTGTGAACAATGTTTGATTTACGTGTTTTAGCTTTTCTATTAAAAAAAAACTCAATTTAATTAATCAATTAAATATAATAATTGTTTTTACCCTTTCTCAATTTGACGAGCACGTTCAGTTAATTCAACCATCTAAATAAAATCGTTTATGTTTATTTAAAATAGAAAACAAAAAACAGAATTCATTCGATTACTAACATCATATTTTTGTCGTTCAAATCGTTCTGTTAATTCATAAATAGAACCATGTAATTGATGGAGAAGATTATGTAATTGTTTTGCCTGTAAAAGAAAAAATTATACCAATTTTTAGATTAAAAGTAATCGATCATTGAAACCTTTTCAATAAGTTGTTCCTTTGTTTTTCCATCAATTTGTAATTGTGGTACACGTTGCGCAAGAACTGAACGTTTTTCTTGTTCTAATTGTTCAGAAGATTTTTGTAAATCCTCCTTAGCTTTGAGTACGTTGCTAAATGCTGAACCACTTGACACTGAACAAAAAAAACTAGATATTTTTACAACACAGCAAAAACGATATATTTTGTATGGACTTACTCTTGTTAAAGTTCTACTGTTCCGGCGAGAAAAGAATAGCTGATATGTGCGGCTAAAACAGTACAAATGTAATTATTCTCTGCTATTATAGATAGATGAAAAGATGCAACCAAGTCGCCTTTTTTTTTTCTTTTTCTTTTGCTCTAGATAGCCTATATTGGATATACAAAAAATAAACGACCGAATATTTATTTCTCTCTCTTCCTCTCCGTTTCTCCTGCCATTCGCTTACAAGTAATATACACATGCATAACTGTGGAGTTATTTGGGAGCAGTGGTACTGTTCTATATCGAGCTACGACTGATGCCCGATGGTTCGAGAAATATGAGCACATAATATATCTAAGACAAGGAAAAGAAGAAAAAAAATAGCAACTATTTATCATTCTATCTTGCTTTTCTTATGTAGGCGATGGCATGTCTGTCGATGGTCAGATTAGTATATGCCAGAGTTCTTTAGTAGATTTTATGGTACTCATAATAGCATATATACTAAATATGGTCATGAATAAAATACATAAATGAAAGCTTTTATGATATTAATTTAACACAAAAAAAAAACATTTTGTTGTTTATCGAATACCTGATTAATTTATGAAAGCTTTACGAAATTTTATTGATAACAGATTTTTTTTCTCATCAACTTAAAAGAGCCACTTGTCAATTAATAAATCGCTTTGAAACTGTCTTACTTTGTTATTTTTATGAGAAAAAAATAAATAAGGCTTTGTGACTATGAATCGTTCCTATTAGATTATTAGCTGTTTAGCGAGTTTTTCAACAGAATGCTGTGGTCTCACTTAGATCACTTTCGAAATCGATTATTGACTTTACATGAAGGTCTCAATGAAACTAACGTGCGTATCAAAATTAAAAAGGAATAGGTGTAAGCTCAATAAATCAGCAACGAAAACAGCTATTGATCTGTAGTCTTAAACAAGCCGAAGAGTAGAACTTCGAACAATTTTTTGTCTGATACAGTATAAGAAGATATTATCTTAAGAGCCTTAGTTTTTGAAAAATATTCGAAACAAAACTATATGAAAACAGTGTGGTCCGTTTATATGTATATTTGATGTTGACATCGACTTCAAACGGCAAGTTCATAATATGATTCAGATGATTATCTTCTCATATATCAATGTTGAGCACACAGAATCACATATCTATTCAGTTAAATTAGATAAAATTTCGTTGACTTTTTTAGCGAATTTTCTGACGCTTTATCGAATTTTTTTTGAAACGGTACATCGTTTTCATGCATTTTTTCCTAATATCTTGCGAAGATTATGAGTTTTAAAATCAATGTTTTATATAGTATTTGCTAAAAAGAAGTCCGTAGTTGTTCTCTTTCCATTGATGAAACCCACAAATGGATAACTATAGTCATTGTTAAGTTATTGAACTTACATTCAGCTCTCTTTAATTTTGGCACGGATATTAGTTCATATATTAGATCTCCTACTATCTCTTATCTAGTGATGTCAACATTGAAAGTTCTTTTATGAGAAGAAGTAAATTTTCTGTTTATCATTTTCTGATGATGAACTTCTGCAATTAAAAATTTTCTTCGCGTAAAATTTGGATTTTTAAAATTAGTTTGCTAGATCATCTCAGAGGATCGTCGCATATTATTGAAAACATTAAATATAAAAATTCATGAACACGGACCCTTTTAGTCTTTCTCTGTACATTAATTTTTTTTTAAATTTTCGTTGTTTATTTTGTTAAATTGTTTTGAATGAGATTCAACGATAAGAAAATATTTACAAAGATTTTATTAATATTTTACTACAAACAAAAAAAATTTTTCTAATATCAGTAGATAATAAAATTTTTCTCTGTTAATTGACTGATTAAATTGTTCAAATTAACTTGAATTTTTCCACCATGATATGTATATATACACCAATCATTAAATGATTTATCGATTCATTAATTAAGGATGCCTTTCACTTTATTTTAACTTTGAATTTTAATACAAATAAATTCAACATATTTTACGTGTAGATTTACTCATCAATGAAAATTTAGTTATTTTTCTTACTCACTATTGAAGTCGATCTAAGTGTATATCGAAAATTTGACAGATTGAAGTCTCAAGACATGGAATGAAAATTCTTAATAACAATGTAGAAAAAGTGTAACTAAAGGTAACCGAAAATGGAGACAAATATGAGGCTAGATTATCTTTAATAGTTTTTTCTAATTTAATTACATCATTGATTGTAACCGCAGATATACGTCGTTTTTACATCATGACACAGACATACTTCAGAAATAGAATCATTAATTTATTGCCTGATCCTTTTATTTCTTGAACAGTAAGATTTGAAACACTGAAAATCAATTCAATGATGCCGTAAATACAACTAGCATGTTGTTTATTCTTGTAGTACTTGATATTTATAGGAAATGCCTATTATATATCCAAATCAATACAGAAAGACATGAGAAATAATACGATTTTGAAGAAAAGAAAGACAATATCATTGGTTAGTGAGGTTATTTCGCACAATAAAAATGCGTATATCTCTGGAATCGAAAATTTCTTTTAGCTATTTTTTATATAACAGCTGTATGTTGGGTTATTTTGAATACAATGAAAAATCTGAGTCCAATAGTTTTTTCTTTCGTCATGTTATTATGGAATAATCAGCATTAAATACTTGATATGATAAAGAACAATAGTGTGCAGTGCAGGTCTTTTTATTTATAAAATACTGCAAGTTCAAGAATTAGCGTTTTTTGGAGAATTCTTTAGGCTTCCAAATATTCATGAAAAGTTTTTCCTAAACATATTTAGATTTTTCACAAAAAAAAATAGAGTTTTATTCGTTGCTAACGGCGTTAGTGAGTATGAATATAGAAATAACAAAAGTATTCTTATAAGGAGACGACAAGTTCAAAAGCCTATTTTAAATGGTAAAAATCATTATTGGCGATCTCAATATAATAGTAAAATGAAAAGTTTCATTCTAGGACATCAGCATACTCCTAGAAAACAGGCTGTTAGGAAGCATTTTTTTAATCATATCTCGCTGAAATTTCACCAAAAATACAGTTTATGACGTGAAGTTTATTCTAAAATTGTTTGACTTGTCGGTAACAAGATTAGAGTATTATTCGCTAATTACATTTTAATTAAATATGAATTGAAAGAACCAATATTTGTACATATATTCATAAAAAAAAGAACTCGTTCAAAGAACAACATCACTTCTAAAGAAGGTAAGTTCAGTCGAAGCTGGTCATATCTCATTTTTGTTAATATAAATATTAGTGATGTTTTCTGTAGCTATTTGCTATCTGGCACCATAATTTATTTTCATTATCTCAATATATAGTCATTATAAACTCATTTGTATGCAAATAATTCTTTAAATACAGTTCATATAATAATATGACAAAGAGTTTCTCCTATTTAATGTATATTCAATCGGTGTCATGCATTGATACGACTTTTGGCAACTTGACCCTGTCTGAAGCTCATTAAGGCCTGGTGAATATTTTCACAACTACAGTACAGTTTTCAAAATTTTATTTTATATGAAAAAATATATTACTTAGTTTCTCCCATAAACAGCGATAAAAAAAAGAGATCATCT